GCCGGAACCGGCCTCCGCTGGGGCCCGGCCAGCCCCTCCCCCGCCCGCGGTCTCCGGGGGAACGCGCAGCCAATCCCCGCCACCCACTGCGGGCTCGCCCCGGCCGGGCCGCGGCTTGCCGGCCTCTGCACTCCAGCCTGTCCCCCTCTCCCCTACCTTGGTCAGCCCTTTCTCTCTGTCTGTCTCTCCGTTTTTCCCTCTCTCCCCATTCCCTTCTCCACCACCAGTTTTTAAACTTTGATGGACTCTCTCTGAGAACTTTTCTTAAAGGAGCCGCGCGGGTTTGGGTGGAGCTGGGGCGGTCCGGCTCTGCATCCCCTGCGCGCGAGGGGCGCGGGCGATGGGGCTCCGCGGGTAGGGGACTCCGTCTCTATCCAGATCCAGGGGTGCCTTCCGGGGTACCTGGCTGACCCCCACATTCCCGCCGGATCCAGGTCCGCGCTCTTCCACGCCCAGCGCGGCGGGAGGCCGGCTTCTGCGGAGGAAGGCGGGGAGGGGGAGGGCGGCCCAACACCTGATCTTTAGCCCAGGCTGCGGGTGGTTTTGCTGAATGACCTTGAGGAAATCACTTTCCCTCTCTAGACTCAGGTTCCAGCCCCGAGGGTGTTAATAGTATGCAAGCTCTTCCAGCCCTCGGTTCCTGGGAGACGGGTGTGGGGACGACCGTGGTTGTTAGCTCGGAGGAGAGGATACCACGAATGGTCTAGAAGGTTCCGTCTCGCAGTCCCCTACGTTACTTTTAAAGTGCTCACCTCTTGCTCTTTTTCGGCTTTAATTCCGAACCCTAAGGCTGGAATGAAGAGCAAGATGACGCCTAGGGCGGGGTCGCGGTGATACCCCTCCACCCCACCCCGGGTGGTGGCGAGTGGAGCGCCTTGGGGTCGAGTCTCCCCAGGCTGGAAATTGCAGACCAAGACCGGCTCCCTCCCTGCAGCTCGTGAAAACCGGCTGGTACCTGGTGTCACTTAGTTAGAGCTGCCGCCCCTACTACCACGCGGAGCCGCCTGAAGACTAGGTTTCTGCCCAGCGCCCGGCGCCTGAGTTCCTTTCTGCTAACTGGGGCATCCTGAAAACAGTCTCCGACTGGCCACCGCAGAGAGGTGAAAGGATGGGCTGGGGTCAGGTGTCCCGCTCATGCTCTGCTGCCCAGACTTGACGCGAGCTTAGCTCCTGTGTTTGGGGTGCGAAGCCACTCTCACAGGCGGTTGACTTGGAAAAACTGGGTTTGCACACTCGAACCATTTAGGATCTCCGACGATAGGCACAGGCTTAGAGCCCTACAGAACTTCCGGTGTGGGACTCTGATGAATACGGTTAACTCCACCAGGCTTGAGAGCTGTGCTGCGGATAATTTATCATCTCCATCTTAATCTGTTCTCTCACAGGTAAGTAAATTGAGGTCTTTACCCGTAACATTCTCATCCTTTGGGGAAATAATTATTGAACCCCTACTGTGGCCTGGGGAGCACTCGGTACTTACTGACAAGACCACGAATTCAGAGTTCCCCTGACCCTATTGCCAACACTTGGTTCACACCCTGTTTTCTGTAAGAAGCCTTGAGAAGTGCTGCATTTCCCCACGGTTTCCAAGATACTTCCAGCCTTGAGCGTCTCCAGGTGGTGCCAATCTTGTGAGCCCTCAGATACCTCTACCACCTCTGTCCCTCCAACAGATCTTTTCATCAGACCCAGGAATTTTCTTCCTCTTTGCTTTGCCAAAGAGGAGTTCCCCTTTCTCCTCCCCCGCCAACGATCCTGCAGTAGCGTCCTGCTGTAGGCAGACTTTTTCCCAGTGGAGAAGCCCAGTCGGCTTTCTAAACTTATTTAGGTAGCCCCTAAATAGTTTATTTGAATTTTTTAAATACTGAGGGGCTCTCATCTCGTACTTCTGATCTCCATTTTATAGATAGAGACGCTGAGGCTCAAAGAAGTGACCTCCATGGGTCACCTTCACTTGCATTTTTCATGACAGGATTCTGGTGATACTTTTTTTAGATTTTATTTTTATTTATGCTTGCTTGTGTTGGGGGCAGTGCACCCATCTCCTGCAGTGACTGGGGAGGCCAGAGTGATTGTCACATCCCCTGGAACTGATGTTATAGACAGTTGTTAGCCTCTGTGTGAATGAAGAGGAACTGAACCAGAGTCCTCTGCAAGAGCAGCCAGTGCTCTTAACCTCTGAGCCATCTCTCAGCCCTTGGTGATACTTTTAAAAGTAATATTTATATTATAATGCTTATAAATGCTCTTTGTTAATACTGAGAAATATGAAAAAAGTTTGGAGAACAATCCAGTCATCTAGTGAGCAAGATTATTTCTTTCTGGGGTTTTTTTTCTATGCAAACTTAAAAAAACAAAATTATGCTCTATTCTGAACACATAACTTACACTTTTTTCTTATGAAAGTTTCTTTAAATTCTTCACTCAACTTTTGTTGTTTTTCCTTTTGTTTTTTGAGACAGGGTCTGTCTTCCTGCATAGCTGATGATAGACTTGAACTCCTGATCCCCCGTCCCCACCTCCCAAGAGCTAGGGTTAGAGGCATGCACTATATTGTGAGCTGTTGCACCTGTCTTCCCTCAAAAGAATTTTTTTAACATTTGTTTATTGGAGTGGAGGGGTTGTATATGTCATGGTGCTCTTAGGGAGGTCAGAGGACAACTTGTGGAAGTTGATTCTTTCCTTTCACTATGTAAGTCCTGGGATTCAAATTCAAGTCACCAGCCTTGGCAGCAAGAACATTTACCTGCTGAGCCACTGGCCAGCCCCTCTTCCCTCAAATTAGAATGATTGGAACTAGAGTAGTACTTGCCTAGCATGCACAAAGCCCTAGGTTCAATCTCTAGCACTATAAAAAATGATTATAAATGATGAGCTAGAGAGATGGCTCAGTGGTTAAAAGCATTAGCTCTCTTTTTTTTGGTCTTTTTGAAGCAGGGTCTCCCTGTAGCCCCAGCTGTCCTGGAACTCACTATTTAGACCAAGCTGGCCTTGAACTCACAGAAATCCACCTGCCTCTGCCTCCCAAGTGCTGGAACTACAGGTGCACCACCACGCCCAGCTAAGCTCTTTTAAAAAAAAAAATTTATTTATTATTTTTATATTATGTGTATGAGTATATTGCCTGCATGTATGTGAGTGCACCCATATCTTGCAGTGCCACAGAAGTCAGAAGAGGGCTTCGGATTCCCCTGGAACTGGAGTTAAGCATGGTTCATAGCCACGATGTGGGTGCTAGGAATCGAACCTGGGTCCTCTGCAAGAGCAGTCAGTGCTCTTAACCTCTGAGCCATCTCTCCAGCCCCACACTAGCTCTTCTTGTAGAAGACCCAGGTTTGAATCCCAGCACCCACATGGTGGCTATGAGCCATCCTTAACTCCAGTTCAGGGGAATCTGAAGCCTTCTGACCTCTGAGGCATTGCACAACACGGGTGCACTTACATACATGCAGAAAAAAAAAATAAATAAATCCTGCCGGGTAGGATGGCGCACACCTTTAATCCCAGCACTCAGGAGGCAGAGGCAGGCAGATGTCTGTGAGTTCAAGGCCAGCTTGGTCTACATAGTAAGTTCCAAAAAAAAAAAAATCCAAAAAAAATTTTTTAATTATAGATACTGGGGCTGGAGAGATGGCTCAGCAGTTAAGAACACTGGCCATCCTTGCAGAAGACCCAGGTTCAAATCCCAGCACCCCATGGCAGCTAACACCTGTCCATAACTCCAGTTCTAGGAGATCCGACGCCCTCTTCTGACCTCGGCCATTGCATGACATGGGTGCACTTACATGCGGGCAGTACTTGCATACACATAAAAATAAATTTAAAAGGGCTGGAGAGATGGCTCAGCGGTTAAGAACACTGCTCTTGCAGAAGACGGGTTCAAATCCCAGCACCCACATGGCAGCTAACAACTGTCTGTAACTCCAGTTCCAGGAGATCCGACAGCCTCTTCTGTCCTCCAAGGGTGTTGCACAACACGGGTACACTTACATACAGGCATAACACTCATACACATAAAAAATAAATATAATGAAATATTTTAAAAATAAAATTTTTTAAAATTATAAATGCTTGCCAGGCGTGGCGGCGCATTCCTTTAATCCTAGCACTCGGGAGGCAGAGGCAGGTGGATCTCTGTGAGTTCAAGGCCAGACTGGTCTACATAGTGAATTCCAGGCCAGCTGGGGCTATTGCGAGACCCTGTCTCAAAAAAGACCAAAAAAAAAAAATTTATATATATATGTATTACATATATGCGCTTTAACCCCCCCCATTATATATTGCCATTATTTATTTAACCTATCTTGTTAAGACATTCACTTATTTTTTTCTTTTGTTGCTTTTATAAGCAACCCTTTATTTTGAGGCAGGGTCTCCCTGTAGCTCCAGCTGGCCTGGAACTCACTATGTAGACCAGGTTGGCCTCCATCTCACTGATAGCCACCTGCTTCTGCCTCTTGAGTGCTGGGATTAAGGGTGTAGGACAACATGTCTGACCATAAGCACCACTTTAAAAAAATTTATGTGTGAATCCATGCAGGTACCCACAGAGACCAAAAGAGGACATCAGATCCACTGGAGCTGGAGTTACAGACAGTTGTGAGCCACCCAGTGTGGATTTTGGAAACTTAACTTGCGTTCTCTGAAAGAACAGCAAGCACTCTTAACTGCTAAACCATCTCTCCAGCCCCATAGACAACATTTTTTATTAAGATTCATGTGTGTATGGGGGGTAGTGCATGCAGATGAATGTGTAGGTATATGTTCCCCTGTTGCATGTGTGTGAGGCCGAAGCAGGGCATTGGGTATCTTCTATTGCTGGGTCTCTCACTGAGTGAGAAGATCTGCTGTTTCAGCTAGACTAGTGAGCTCTTGAGATCTACCTGTCTCTGTGTTCCAAAGCTGGTATTACAGGTTTGCAGCCATGCCTGACTTTTCACATGCATACCTGGCTATTTGAACCCAGGTCCTTATGCTTACAATGAACAAGCACTCTTACCTGGGGAGCCATCTCCCTAGCCCTTCATGAGGATTCTTTTTTTTTTTTTTTTTTTTTTTAATGTGTATGAGTGTTCTTCATGCATATGTGTATATAAGTGCACCTGTGAGTGCTGTGCCAGCGGAGGTTAGAAGAGGGCATCAGATCCCCTGGAACTAGAGTTATGGACAGTTAGCCACTATGTGGGTGCTGGAAACTGAACCTAGGTCCTCCAGAAGAGAAGCCAGTGCTTTTTACTGCTGAACCATCTCTATGGCCCCCTTCATGGGGATTCTTCATATATCAGAAATCTTCCTGTATGTGTAACAGCCCTTAAGCACTTTGGAGGTAACAACTGATTCTTCTTTGTCCCCCCACAGTCCTTCAAAATGCATCCTTTCCTGTTTAATTTCAAAAGCAGGTAGGAAAGTACTATTACTTGACACTGGAAACTTAATCTCTGAATTCATATGTTAATGGTATTTGTTGGTAACCAGTAGTATGCACTCCCAGATGTTCAGAAGATATTGATGCTATGTTCCTGAACTTAGCAGCCTTCAGAACCATGAGCAAAGCGAACCACTTCTTTGTAAAATTATCTAATTTCAGATACTTTGTTACAGCAACACATAATGGGCTAAAACTTTAACTAGGAAAGGATGAAGGTGATTTAGAAATTTAAATTTTTTCCTTGGGAGATTAAAGCAAGAAGATCTTGAGTTTGGCCTAAGAAAGATAGTTTCTAGTAAAAAAATAAATTAAGCAGAGATCTTTTCATATGGAACTCTCAGTGATCTTTTATTCAGAAACTCTCTGGTTTTGTTTTTGTTTGAAATGGGTTTTAAGTTCTGGCATCCATTAAACAGCACTTGCTAAATTTTTACTGACTGTAGAGTCCTTCCCAGGGAACCAAAGGTCACTGAGAGTGCCTCTCTGACCTGCTTCGCTGCATGACACTGGCCTCCCAGAGCCTGTGAGAGGGTACCCTCTCAGCCTGATAAAACTACAGAATTGTTCAGCAGGTGTGGTAGGCTGGCCGTACTAGGCTGTTTCCAAGAAAGGCCAAAGGACTTGAAGGGGTCATCATTGCACTTGACCAGTGTCCAGTGAGGCAAGTGACAGGTCTTTGGGGACTGAGGCATTTTGTGAAATGAGGTGGGACGAGAAGAGGAAGGCAGATTCTGCTCTCACTTCTAAAGGTGTCAGTGCAATTCCTATGCCATCCATTTTTACTCTAGTTTCTGTTTGCTTTTTTCTTGTCTTCCAGAAGAGCCTCTTGTCCATGAGGGGAGGCAGGCACACTCACTCTCTTTAAGGTCTTACCAAGCAGTGTGTATAGGTCACTGCAGATCATAGAATCTGTGTCAAAGGGACTCTAGACAGGATTTAAACCAGTTGACCCCACTCCTACCTGCAGACCAGAATTGCTATTTATTTTCAAATTTTTTAAAGAATATTTATTACTATAGGGCTGGAGAGATGGCTCAGCAGTTAAGAGCACTGACTGCTCTTGCAGAGGACTCAGGTTCGATTCCCAGCACCCACATGGCGGCTGTGAACTGTCCTTAACTCCAGTTCCAGGAGAATCTGAAGCACTCACATACATGCAGGCAATACACTCATACACATAAAATAAAAAAAATTTTTTTAAAGAATATTATTGAGGAAAAGCTAGTCTTCTTAAAGAGAGGAACAATAGAAAGGCTGACTAGACCTCAGTGGATGAACTTGCACTGAGGAACATCTGGGGACATTAACTTGACTCATTAGACCTTAACACAAATGACAGAATGCATGAATTCAGGGTGTGGGGAGGGTGTATGGGATGGTGCCAGTGGGGAAAGGGGGTATAAAGATGATTAAGATGTTCTGCATGAAATACACAAAAATTCAATTAAAAATTTACCAAAAATATCATTGCAAAAATAAATAAAATTTTTCATTTTTTAATTTTATGTATAAGTGTATTCTTGCATATATGTAAGTGTACATGTGTTGTGCAATGCCCATGGAGGTCAGAAAAAGGCATCAGATCCCCTGGAACTGTAGTTAAAGACTGTTGTTAGCCACCATGTGGATGCTGGAATTTGAACCCAGAGCCTCTGCAAAAGTAGCCAGTGCTCTTAACCACTAAGCCATCTCTCCAGTCTGAGAATTGCTATTTTTTTTTAAATTTTATGTGTGTGTGTGTCTGTCTGTCTGTCATACAAGTGCCTGCAATGTGTATTTGGGTGCCCACAGAGGTCAGAAGTAGGCATTGGTTACCCAGAGCTGGAGTTACAGGTGGTTATGAACGTATGCTGGGGCTGCAAACAGAGCTCAAGTCCTCTGGCATAGCGGCAAGCACTCTCTTGACCCCTGAGCCATCTTTCCAGCCCCCAGAACTGCTCTTTGAAAAAGACCAATTCCTGGGGCCTATCCAAGAATACTTCTAAAATGACCGGAGGATGGCTCTTGGAAATTTTCTAGCACCCCAGCAACTGGAACCCTGAATCAACTTCTGTGCCAACACTTGACTGTCCACCAGAAGCTAACCCAGTATCAACCCCAAATTGAAAAATCATAGTTTACCCCATGTTTCTTACTGCTGCACCTTCAGCTGTGGTAAGCTGGGTGATACTAACATTTGTGAAGAAATTTTTGAGCCAGGGTCTCCCTGTAGCCCCAGCTGACCTGGAACTCAGGCTAGCCTTGAAGTCACAGAGATCTATCTGCCTCTGCTTCCCTAGTGCTGAGACTAAAGTTGTGCCATGCCCAGCTAATTGTTGACTTTTTTTCACAGGGTTGCACTATGTGGCCCTGGCCTGGAGCTCAGAGATCTGCCTCTGCCACTCTGGTGCTGGAATTAAAAGCATGCATTACCATGCCCGGCATCCATTGACTTTTTTTTTTTTTTTTTGAGACAGGGTCTCCCTGTAGCCCCAGCTGGCCTGGTACTTGCCAAGTAGACCAGGCTGGCCTTGGTCTCAAAGAGTGTGCCACCACATCCAGTTTTTACGTTGACAGGTTTTTTTAAAATTTTATTTATTTTATGTGTATGCGTGTATTGCCTGCATGTAGGTTAAGTGCATCCGTGTTGTGCAATGTTCGCGCAGGTCAGAAAAGGCTGTCGGATCCCCTGGGACTGGAGTTACGAACCGTTGTTAGCTGCCATGTGAGTGCTGGGATTTGAACCCGTCTTCTGCAAGAACAACCAGTGTTCTTAACTGCTGAGCCATCTCTCTAGGCCCACATTGACTTATTTCTTAAAAATACTGATTTTGCTGGGCGTGGTGGCACACGCCTTTAATCCCAGCACTCAGGAGGCAGAGGCAGGGGGATCTCTGGGAGTTCAAGGCCAGCCTGGTCTACATAGTGAGTTTCAGGACAGCTGGGGCTACAGGGAGACCCTGTCTCAAAAAGACAAAAAAAAAGTAAAAATACTGATTTTTGTGTGTATGAGTGTATTGCTTCCATGTATGTAAGTGCACCCCTGTCAATGTGTCAATGCCTACAGCAGTCAGAAGAGAGCACCGGACTGGAACTGGAAACCAAACCTGGGTCCTCTACAAGAGCATTCTGTGCTCTTAACCGCTGAGCCATCTTTCTAGCCTATGTTGCCTGCATATAGGTAAGTGCGTCCATGTTGTACAATGCCCTCAGAAGACAGAAGAGGCTGTCAGATCCCCTGGAACTGGCAGTTGTTGGCTGCCATGTGGGTGCTAGGATTTAAACCAAGGTCTTCTGCAAGAATAGTCAGTGTTCTTAACCGCTGAGCCATCTCTCCAGCCCCTGTATTGACTTCTTAACACAGTAGTTAAGCATCCAAGTTCGGGGCTAAGATGAACCTGAGCTTGTTATACACCCCCACTCCCCCCGGGACTTTAGGCAAAGGACTAAATTCTGAGCCTGTTTCCTCATCTGTAAAATGGGATAGTACCTACCTCATAGGGTTTGTGTGCAGTCGAATGAGGCACTATGTGTGTAGGAAGTGCAGGCTGTTCTCCAGTTAAACCCCAATCTGTGTTCCTCCATGTATGATGGACATGGGCTCCACAGTGCTGCAGAGTGAACTCATATTCCCTGCCATAGGGTGGCCATCCGCAGACATCAGACCTCTTTCCTACCACCTGACCCTGGATCCAGACACCCTAAAGCATCGACTGCTCTTCTGAACTGTTTGACACTAAAGGGAGAGAAATATTTTGGGAAGGGGATTCTGCCTAGCAGTGCCAGGCCTCTGGCAGGTCCTGTGAGTTTAGGGTATCAGCAACTGCTATCCAGAAAGCAGTGATCCCAGGAGAAGATCATTCCAGAGGCTAAGTAATCTGTGTAATGATACACAGCTGTAACTAGCAGGACTGGAACTTGAACACAGGATTCCATGTGCACCATTCTTGAAACTAGATTGTAGAAAAGGAATTTAATCTGAATTGAGATCTCGAGTCCAACGTGCAGTTTTCCTTCCAGGAGTCATTTAATATTTGCTGATTTCTTATCTAACAACTGTGACCTCCAGTGTTTACAATACACATCCCACTCTGAATATATGCCTTTTTTTTCCCCTCTGTTTTGGGAAGTCAGTATTTTGGTATGTATATGAATGAAAATCACCAGGTAGTACACAAACCATAGACAAAATAATAAACCTTTTAAAACAAAACAAAAGGATTAATTTCATGTTATATGAATTTTACTCAATCTGACAAAGGGGATATTTATCACTCCTCAAACTTTTATCTAAGATCAAGTGCAAAAGGCAAATTAGCCTGCTTTGGTGGTGCACTTGGGAGGTAGGGTCTCTGAGTTTCAGGCTATCCTGATCCACATAGTTCCAGGCCAGCCAGAGCTACATAGACTCTGCCTCAAAACAAAAAAGCAAACTTTAAACAGTAAGTCTTCCCCAACCCCTAGTCCTGTCCTCCAGCAACTCATCTAAGTTCCGAAGATGTTACAAGTATTTGCAGACATTTGTGTGTATAGTTGAGATGTAAGTAGTAACATCCTGTATACATTGACCTTGTTTCTTTTTCTCATCAGAGAACTTGCTGGTGGGTCTGTACCCTGACTAGCAGTCCTGCTACTTCCATTTGGTGGAAGTGTCCTGGTTTATCTAACCTGTCCCTGTTGACATACATTTAGGTTTTCCCCCCAGTTTTTTGCTATTTTAATTTTTTATGTATGTGTATGAGTGTTTTACCTGCACATATGTAAGTGCATCAGTATGTGTAATACCCTTGGAGGCATCAGATCCCCTGGAACTGGAGTTGACAGTTGTTAGCTGCTATATGGGTGCTGGGAACTGAACCCAGGTCCTCAAGCAGCCAGTGCTCTTAACTGAGCCATCTCTACAGCCTCAGTTTTTGCTATTTTTTAAAAAATATTTTTGCCGGTAATGGTGGCACACACCTTTAATCCCAGCACTCAGGAGGCGGGGAGGCAGGTGGATCTCTGTGAATTCAAGGCCAGCCTGGTCTATATAGTGAGTTCCAGGACAGCTGGAGCTACAGGGAGATCCTGTCTCAAAAAGACCAAAAAAAATTTTTTTTTAATTTTATGTGTATGAGTGTATTGCATGTATGTGAGTGCACCCATGTCGTCCAGTGCCGTGGGAGATCAGAAGAGGCTGTCGGATCCCCTGGAACTGGAGTTAAGGACAGTTCGTAGCTGCCATGGGGGTGCTGGGAATTGAACCCGGGTCCTCTGCAAGAGCAGTCAGTACTCAACCACTGAGTCATCTCTCCAGCCCATTTTTTGCTATTTTAAACAAGTCTGCTATCATATTTTGCACAATCCTCTATTATCTCTTGTTCTGTATTACTGAGGTTTGAATTCAGCCGTCTCTGTCTCTCTCTCTCTGTGCAGTGTTGGGGATGAACCTAGGGCACTAGGCAAGCTCTCTGCCACTGAGCTGCACCCCAGCCCCCACATGCTTTTCTGTGTAGAAGTTCTTAGCAGCAGAATTGCTCTGTTACAGAGTATGTATAGCTGCAACGATAAAGCCCAGTGGTTGGCCTCACTTCAAGGAGCTCTGAAGACCATGGCCTGGAAGTTAAAGCACCCTCAGAGGTAAGACCTGCTCTCTTCCTCCTTTCCCCTTTCTAGGCACTTTCTGGCTGCTGGCCTGTAGCACTTCCCAGAGCTTTTGCTGTCTGGCAACCCTGCCCAACCCAGCAGCCTGATTCCCAGTGTTCTCTCTTCTTACCCTGCCTGACTAGTTCTTCCTTCTTTCAATGGAGACTCCCCAGTCTTCCAGTTTGTCCCCAGGACTAGAATTGGGACTGAGGTTCACAGTCAGATATGACCCATTACTGTAATTTCTGTACTCAGGAGACTGAGGAATGAAGATTACAAGTTTGAAGCTAGACTGTGCTACATAGGGAGACACTCTAAAAATATATATATATATATAAATATGATATAAACATACATGTGTATATAGATATGACCTGTTACCACCATAACCAGCAATAGCTGGTCCTAACAAGTATCTTCAAAACAGAAAGCTAAAAGATTACGGACTTGCCATCTGATTCTCATAGTCCATTTTACATAGTAAGTAAGTGAAGCCCAGAAGAGAGGTGTGGCTTAGCAAGTGGGTCATCAGAGTTAGGGAAGGAAGCCGGGCAGATCTAAGAGTTCAAGTCAGTCCTCAGCTATAGCAACATTGAGACAGCTTGGGGCTGCATAAGACTCTCAAACAAAAAGAATTTAGCTGGTCATAAAGATTCACGCCTATAATCCCAGGATTTAAGAGGCTGAGGCAGGTGGATCACTAGCCTGGGCTACAAAGTGAAACTCAAAATCAAAACAACACCTCAGTAGTTAAGAGCATTGGCTGTTCTTGCAGAGGACCTGGGTTTGGTTCCCAGCACTCACATGGTAGTCACAACATAACTCCAATTCCAAAGAATCTGACACCCTTTTTTGGCCTGCATGGGGACTGCATGTACATGGTATACTTAAATACACATAAAATAAAAATGTAAAATAAAAAAATTTACACTGGACAAATGAAAAGATCGGGTGATAGGAACAGATGGGGAGATGAAGTAACAAAGGTCCACTTGGGGGCCTGGAGATAGGGTAAGATCGAACCACAAATCCATAAGGTTGACTTCTCTCCCCTCAGGTAGCTCAGCTTGGGAGCACAGCAGAGGCTCCCTGAAGCTTTGTTGAATGAACAAAAGCATAGTTAAAAGTGAATGAAGAACACAGATAGAAAATTCTTGGCCACAGGCCAGTGAGATGGCTCAGTTGGAAAAGGCATTTACTCCCAAGCCTGGTGATTGAGTTTAGTCTGTGGCACCCACAATGGTGGAAGGAGAGAAAGAACTCAAGTTGTCTTCTCACCTCCACTCTTGGGTTGTGGGAACCCATGCCCCTCCCCCTTCAATAAATGAGTAGATTTAAAAGAGTTTTGGTTTTTTTTTTAATTTTATTTGAGTGTTTTGCCTGCATGTATGTAAATGCACCCATGTTACACAGTGCCCAAGGAGGTCAGAAGAGGGTGTTAGATCCCTTGGAACTGGAGAACTGGAGTTATAGATGATTGGAAGCTACCATGTGGGTGCTAGGAACCAAACCTGCATCCTCTGCAAGAGCAGCCAGTGCTCTTAGTCACTGAGCCATCTCCCCAGCCCCTAAATAAAAAATAAATTCAGTCTTTTTTTTTTGAGACAGGGTTTCCCTGTAGCCCCAACTGGCCTGAAATTCACTATGTAGACCAGGCTGGCCTTGAACTCTCAGAGATCTGCCTGCCCTGCCTCCTGAGTGTTGGGATTAAAGATGTGTGCCACCATGCCCAGCATAAAATTTTTTTAAAAAAGAAAAAAAATAATTGAACAGAGGCAAGCCCCACCACTAGTCATGTGGCCTGGAGACTGTATCATTACCATAAAGATAGCCAGACTTAGAAGATTCTTTAAGTTACAAAACTCCATCTGTCTTATAGCTCCTACACTCAACTCTTGTAGTTGGAGCAGGAAGGCAGCCCTGTGCAATAGCAAAACAAATAGGCATGACTTTGTTCCAAAAAAACTTACACAACCAGACTGTGCACCAACCTGTGCACTTAATGTGCTAGTGACAGTTGCAAGAACCTAAAATTATTAACACCTTTGTCATGAAAGACTGGACATACAGATTGTTCTTTGTCATCTGAATCTTGGACCCCACTGAGACTCAGGTGGTATTTCTATATGCTCACTCCAGAACTCTACAAAGTTCTGTAAGACATGTAAGCATGTGGGCCAGCTACAGAACAGGGTTTAAGAACCTGAGGACTTGTGAACCTCCTTGGATAGGTTCTCCCTGAGGCCTCTTTTGCCTTCAACGGTGACCAGATGTTAGAGATGCTCATAATAGTAGGAAGGTCTGAGAGATGGGACAGGAACTTGGGGCTTCTCTGAGTAGAATGTGAAGGACAGTAGGCTACTCTCCAACCTCTCCTGGAATCTATAAAGTAAATTCTAGATAGCTCACTGGAAACATAGCCCAGTTGGCCCCTGGAGGATTTTTCTCTAATCTGAGTGACTGCAAAGGCAGAGTCCTGCAAGAGACAAGTTATTGGCCCTTCTTTCTAGCTGGAGTGGTGGTACATTCCTTGAGCTCTGCTTAAATTGAGTCATCCCAACTACAGGGATATATGAGACACCTGTTGTCTGCCAGTGACTACCTTGGACCTCACCAGTGAGAATCTTAAACACCAAGAACTATGCCCAAGGGGAAGGAAAGCCACTGACAGCCTTCAGCTCACCCTACTGGAAAAGCTGTGGGAGACCATGACCCTGGAGCTGACCCCTGAAGATAGGTAGTTGATATATTCTAGGTAGAGGTGGGATGTGTGGGGAAACTGAGAGTCTAGGGCCTGGTTTGGCTGGACTTTCAAGGGAACAGAGAGGAGTTCTAGGAGCAAAGCATGAGAAACTGGATCCAGGTCCTGGTGGGAGTTGGACCAAGAGGCATCAAGCCACAACAACTGTAGGTGCTGATGTATTGAGAGTTGGACAGAAACAGGACTTGCCAAGCTTTGTAGGAAGAAAATTGAGAAGAGCCTGGGCAGAAGGCATTGGTGGTAGAACTGAGGAAAACGGAGATCATTTTGGACCTGCTGGGTGTTTGAATCTGGTAGGAAATCTGCCTCTGATACAGGTAGAAATGGGAAACTGGATGTGTGGATTCAGGTAGAAGACTACCCAACATGGCCACTCACACCTGTAATTTCAGCACTGGAGAGGATGGAGCAGTATTTTCATGAGTTTGAGGCCACCACAGATTACATAGTGTGTTCCAGTCCAGCCTAGAGGTACGGTATGAGAAACCAGGGCCAGCGAGATGGCTCAATGGGTAAAAGTGCTTGTCATCAAGCCAAAGGGTATGAGTTTGACCCCCCCAGAACCTACATGGTGGAGGTGAGAATTAAGTCCTGCAAGTTGCCTTTTGATCTCCATATGTGTCCTGTGGTGGTTTGAATGAGAATGTCCCCTATAGGCTCCCTATATTTGGACATTTTGTCCCCTGGTGGTGGTGGTGTTTTGGGAAGCTTTAGGAGGTGTGGCCATGCCACAGGAAACAAGTCACTGGGGGTGGACTTTGAAAGTTCTTAAGCTTTGCCTAATTTCCCACTGTTCTCTGCTTCCTGTGCCTGCTTGAAGATGTGATCACTAGGCTTTCTGTTCTACCACCTTGCCTCCCCGCCATTATGGAATTGTTTTTTTTTAGGTTTTTTGTTTTGTCCTTTTGAGACAGAGTCTCCCTGTAGCCCCAGATGTCCTGGAACTCGCTATGTAGACCAGGCTGGCCTCAAACTCACAAAGATCCACCTGTCTCTGTCTCCCAAGTGCTAGGATTAAAGGGTGTACCACCATGCCTGGCATTATGGAGTCTTAACTCTAAATCATAAGCCAAACAAATTCTTCCTTCTATAAGTTCCTTTGATCATAGTGTTTTATCACAACAAGAGAAAAGTAACTGATACATGCACTAGCAAATATACACACACACACAATTGTAATTTTAACTGTGGAAATTTAAAAAAATTTTATTTATGTATATGTGTGTATTGCCTGTATGTAGGTAAGTGCACCTGTGTCATGCAGTGCCTGCGGAGGACAGAAGAGGCTGTCGGATTCCCCTGGAACTGGAGTTAAGGACGGTTCGTAGCCGCCAATGTGGGTGGTGGGAATCGAACCCAGGTCCTCTGCAAGAGCAGTCAGTGTTCTTAACTGCTGAGCCATCTCTCCAGCCCCACAATTGAGATTTTTGCAAAAAAAACCTGAGGAATCATGGCTTAGGTATACTGCTGCAAGGCAGAGGCAGGTGGATCTCTGTGAGTTCAAGGCCAGCCTGGTCTACATAGTGAGTTCCAGGACAGCTGGGGCTTACAAGGAGACCCTGCTTTCAAAAAGACCAAAAAAAAACAAAAAACAAAAACAGGTGGTAATCATAGATTTACCTCACAGTATACGTGAAGATTTTTTCTTTTTTAACAGGGTCTTGCGCCAGCAAGATGACTCAGCAGTTAAAGGCATTTGCTGCCAAGCCTAACAATCTGAGTTGGATCCCAGGGACCCACATAGTAGAAGGAGAGAATCAGCTCTAGGAAAGTTGTCTTCTGACCTCCCCTCACTGTGTGTGTGTCGGTGTGTGTCTGTGTGTGTGTCTGTGTAATTTTTTTTATTTTTATTTTTTATTTTTTGGTCTTTTTGAAATGGGGTCTCCCTGTAGCCCCAGCTGTCCTGAAACTCACTAAGTAGACCAGGCTGGCCTTGAACTCACAGAGATCCACCTGCCTCTGCCTCCCTATTGCTGGGATTAAAGGCGTGTGCCACCATACCCAGCTGTGTAATTTTTTAAATTAGAAAAGAAATAGTCTTGTTAGATAGTCCAGGCCAACTTCAAACTTGTGATCCTGCTGCCTCCTAAATGCTGGGATTATAAATTTGCATCATTGTACTGGACACTCAGACTTGGTTTTTGGTTTGGGTTTTTTCCCCTGCGTAGCTCAGATTGGCTGGCCTCAAATTTCTGTGCTCAAGTGATCCTTTTGCCTCATCCTCCTGATTAGCTGGACTCCACACATCCTATATGAAGATGAAACAGGCTGATGTGCTACACACTCAGCCTCTGTGTACAGTAGCAGCCTTGTCCATGGTTTGTAGTGTTGATATTTTCTTCAAGTTGTAAAGATGGGTTCTAGGGACTGGAGAGAGGGCTCAGTGGTTAAGAGCACTGGCTACTCTTGCAGAGAACCCAGGTTTGATTCCTAGAACCTACATGGTAGCTAACAATCATCTGTAACTCCAGTTCCAGAGGATCCAGCACCCTCTTCTGACCCCCTTGGGCATTGCATGACATGGGTACACCTACCTACATGCAGGCAATACACACATACTCATAAAATTTAAAAATTAAAAAAAAAAAAAGATGGGTCCTGGGTTTCTTTAATCTGTAGGACTCTGGTGACACATTTGGAGTCACCACAAGCTGAGAAGCTGCAGGACTAGAGATCAGAAGTGGTCAATGGCATAGCTTAGTGTTGGTATCTGGGTTGGGAGCTGGGATGGAGAGTGGGACATCCTTTGAAGGACACAAGACCATGCAGAGAAACTTGGATAGGCCTCCTCAGCTCCTTGTCCCTTTCTAATCCCAGTTGAACATTCTCAACTGCTGATTTGGATCTGGAATGTCCCCTGAAGGTTCATGTTTTTAAGGCTAAGTCCCATCTCAGAGGTGAGAGAACTTTCAAGATGCTAAGAGATGGGAGGCAGAGGCAGGCAGATCACTGTGAGTGCAAGGCCAGCCTGGTCTACTATAGGGAGCCCTGTCTCAAAAAGATAAGAAAAAAAAAAAGCTAAGAGGTAGTAAAATGATTGGCTAGCATGTGTAATGCTCTAGGTTTGATACCTACCACCACAAACAATAAAAATAAAAACAGAGGCTGGTCGTGGTGGTGAATGCCTTTAATCCCAGCATGGAGGAGGCAGAGACAGGTGGATCTCTGTGAGTTCCAGGGCAGCCTGGTCTACATAGCAAGTTCCAGGCCAGCTGAGGCTACAGCAAAACGTGTCTCAAAAAAAGACAAACAAAAAAAAACCTCTCTTCTCTCTGTCTTTGCTTTCTGGCCACTACAAAGTGAGCAGCCTACGCTATCATACAGACTGAAACCATAAGCCAAAACAAACATTTCTCTATTTTGATTATCTCAGCTATTTTATTACAGTAACAAACCAACCAACCTTCTCCCTTTTGGAATCAGTCTTTGCTAGGGAACAAGCCCCTCTCTTGCACTGCCAAACCCTGTTGATCATGGATAAATCATTCAGTATCTCCAGTTGACTGTTTCCCCACCTGCAAAGGAGGGTATAATAATGCTAGTACGAGAGAGAGAGAGAGAGAGAGAGAGAGAGAGAGAGAGAGAGAGAGAACATTACAGAACATAAGTGCAGGGCATAACTTCTCACAAGCTTAACATCAGTAGCTTCCCAGACTGGGCATAAGGGTAACTGCATACCACAGAGGATCTGCATTACTCAGGCTGCTCTTGAACAACTGAGCTCAAGAATTTTCTCCCACTTCAGCCTCCAACTAGCTGGGACTAGAAGTGCACAACATGTCATGAGCTGGGCCTGGCTGCTTTCCCTACTGCATCTCCTACTGCTCACCAAAAACTTAGACATACGTGCTGCCTTCATTAAGAGCTGGGATTCTGAGCAGAGCCCAGGACAGGTCTCCTCAGTTCCATCCAGCAACTTGGTAATCAACTATATTAGCAACTTAACCTAAGTTACTCCATCTTGCTCAGAATAGCTATTTTAATAGTAACCTCTTTTCACTTATGGGAAAATATTTAAAAAGACAACAGCCTTGAGTTCTAAGAAATAGCTCAATCACAAACCAGTGGAACATGCTAATCTCAGACATTCTACATCTGTATTCTTGTTTTTGCTTCTGTAACTCGCTTGCTATTTTAGGTCACCTTGACACAAAGTATAAGACCACCCTGTTATTGTATGACCATCTGGTAACTGCTGATTTCAGCTTTCTTACTATACTTGTTATGGCTAGGAAGTTGACCAATTTTAAAATTACAAAGTTATGGCTAGGAAGTTGACCAATTTTAAAATTACAAAGTTGATTGCCAAGTTATATGACTGTATCACTTGTCTGTATGATGATTGGTTGTTGATTAATAGATTCAAAGTTCTGCTATGTTGTACAAACCTGATTGGTTCACAGGTGTCCTGTTTGAATAATATTTCTGTAATCCTATTAAAACTCTGACCCGACAATGATCTCCTTCTACGCCTGAGACAGACAGCCTGGATTGCCGGTTGAAAAATAAAATTTACCTTGCTACTTTTCTTAAAGTGGTGCTGGTGATTTTTTTTGCAAACTCCGACCTATAACAGAAATAGCTTTGGTCACCCCCTACTCTATGATGGTCACCTGTGTCTTAGAACTTGTTCTCTCCATCCATAGGATGCAAGACCAGCCAACTTCTGCCTCTGGCCACAGTGCCTTGGTATTTGGTAGAATTCTCAAACCAAGTGGGGCAAAGAAGAATTCCCTGAGGAGTCACCCTCAGGCCTGAGTTTTCAGGGAGCCAAATCAGCATCTTTCTGACTAATTAAGCTTCTGTAACTCAGGCAGCCCTTGAGTTTTGAGCCTCCTGAGCAGCTAAGATTACAGGCCAGCATTAATCTGCCCAGCTGTCATTAAGCTTGTAATAATTTCAGAAGCCAGTAGCTTTCCTTTTCTCCATGTGTATGGGAAACAGGGGAGCCAGCAGTCAAGAAGTCAACGAAAGGGGACAGACAGTGTCCATCCTCTTCTGGAGCACCCTCTTTACTCTCTTCCAAGTTCACTGCTCCTGGATTCCTTCCAATAAATTCCTTTGGGATGAGAAATCTAAATTTAGTAGAGCACTTGCCTAGCCTATGTGAGGCTCTAAGTTCAATTCCCAGCACTACAAAAATAAAAGAAGTAAACATAAATTCCTCCTTTGGCTGGCCTAGAATTTGAGATACTCCTGCCTCACTCTCACAAGTATTAGGATTATAGGCATATGAGTCACCACAACCAGCCATTTATTGAGTGTGTGTGTGTATGTATATATATATATATATATATATATATATATATATATATATATATATATATATATATATATATATATATATATATATATAATCAGATATATTCACATATATATCTTTGGAATCCTTAGGACTTTCTACAAGATCATATCTTTTCACGTCTTTTGTAAGTAGGGTTTTACTTCTTCCTTTCCAGTATTGATGCCTTTTATCTCTTTCCTAACTTCTGACTAGAATCTCTATTATAATGTTAAACAGAAGCAATGAGAACAATTCTCCATGAGTCTTCTAATCTTAGGGTGTAAGGGTCAAGTCTTTCACTCTGAGTAAGATGTTAGCCCTGGGCTTTCACCAGTGCCCTTTATCAGGTTGAGGAGGTTCCAGTTCACTCTTCTTTTTTTTCTTCCTTTCCTCTGCTCTCTCTCTCTTTCT